TATATTTATTTTTTAATTAAGCTTTCTGTTCTTTTTAAACTCTTATATAAACACGATTATCARCCAAAGAAAGTGCACGTTATACAAGTTTGCGAATAGAAAGGTGAGTACGACTATTTCCCTAAACACAACCATACTCAAGATCGGAACAGAAAATCTTAGAACTGGAGCCGCCCAATCATTGCTTCAGAGAGAGAAAACGAATGCGCCGACTGTTATTTTATGTGAGCGCGATCTTAGCAAAATGCGGATTACCTGTGTTATTRCGTSACGGTGCCGTTTCTCGCAGCTTTATACTAGTAGTCTGTGACAAGGTATGAAACACCGGTCACGAGAAAAATCTAATTTTGCTCCTATTTCTCCAAAGATAACAACAGTAAACGACAACTTTATCTACAAAAATGATGTGTACTATGATTTTCTAACTGCTCCATGAGTTTGAGTGCTTGGTTATAATTTCCCCTCCCTATATATATTTATAATCCATTTTGACACTGAATAAAATACAAGAACTATTATAGGTTCAAAGTAATTGTTCGGGCTCCCTTTGGGTGAACCTGACCAGTAACGCCTGGCAGAAATCAACATCGTCCATTGTTTTTGGAGGGACGATCTATTCATACAGAGACAGTTTCTCTAAATTAATTTCTCTAAATTGTTGTATTCCTAACGATAAAACAAGGGCAATCTGTTTCTTTTGTGCTTAGTCGTGTGTAGTTGTACTGAATTCCGTTGTTGATTATAAATTTAATCAAGAGTTAGCCTCGTACTCCTTCGAAGCAACATGGATACAAACTGGATAGAACACAAGTGTAAGTCAGGACAGACTTTGTTTATCTACAACAAGGTGACAGGGGAGTACAAGACAATGACTGGTGATGTAAGTTGACATATGCATCGATCAATAAACCTTATCACGGCTTTTGATGCCAAAATAATAAGGATATTTGCGTTGAGAAATTGATGCCAAATAATTGTTGATTTTGACCGCCATGTTTCCGGGTAGGCAAAGTCGCAAAATAACAAAAATACAATGTGAAATCGACGTCAAATAATTTCAGCTCAATTCCAATTCTGAAAGCATGATTAATTGCAAACATTAGATATTACGTAAAGGAGTTAACTGGCCAGTTTTGAAAGGTTTAGTTGATCTAGGGAGCGAGTAAACTCATTTTTAGTTCTCCATACATTTCTTTGAAATTTTCGGGGTCATCAGCGCGTAACATGCGAGGAAAATAAAAAAAGTTAAAGTAAAAAGTAAATGTAAAAGCTCACAAATAGCATAATATGTTGTTTCTCATAAAAACAAAGTTTTTGTCTATTTGTTTTTCATCATGCTTTCTTGTTGTCATCTAAAGTCACTTTTCAAGTGCATATTCCTGAAATATAATACTAGAAAATCACGGCTTTTTAGTTCCCACTGTATAATGATTACMATTTCCAATAGTATATTTATTTATAACAATYATTGGCTGCAATATTTGTTATCTGTCTTTCTTACTTTGAATTTGTTTGTCTTTTTAGAGTTCAAGAGATGAGAACTGTGTCATGATTGGTCAACCAGTTGTCTACAAAGAAGTCTGCACCATTGGTACACAGACAGATGACAATGGCTGTAATAATGGCTGTACTTCCATCTACATCAATACAGACCATGTTATCAACAGCACAGAAACATCACCACTGCAAGAACCAGTTGTTTTAGAAGAAACAGTAACTGTTATTTTAGATGAACCTGTTACAACTATTCTCTTAGATGAAGCAACAGATTATTCTGTTAGCAATACAAACAGTWATGTCTGGTATATAGACAATGCGACACATTTAGAAGAGCTTGGAAATGAAAGCAACAGTGAAGCAACAAATAATTCTTCTGACAATAAAGATATTGAGAGCATTCCTCAGGAGGGGGAAGGTAGTCAAACTGAATGTTTGGTAGATTTTACAAGTAAAGACACCAGTGAAACAGCAGCWAACACARGACATCTGACTAAATCCTTTCCATGTCCTTATTGTAAGAAAAAATGCAAATTTAAATCTCATTTGGATCGACATCTCCGTACACATACTGGAGAAAAGAACTTTGAATGTTCCAACTGCAAAAAGAAATTTTCTCGGAAAGATCATCTGAAACTTCATTTGCAAACTCACACTGGAGAGAAACCATTTGAATGCTCTCGATGTGGAAAAACATTTGCACGTAAAGGACAGCTGAATYGTCATATAATATCACATATTGGTGAGAGAACCTTTGAATGTTCTCAATGCAAAAAGAAATTTATGRCAAAGGATGCATTAAAAGTGCACATTCGAACACACAATGGAGAAAAGMCTTTCAAGTGTTGTTATTGTGAAGCAAGATTTTTGAGAAAGTGGGATCTAAGTCTGCATCTGAAAAAGCATACTGGAGACGAGCCCTTTGAATGTTCTTACTGCAAAAAGAAATTTGTACAGAAGACGTATTTGAAATGTCATGAAAGAACACACACTGGAGAAAAACCCTTTGAATGTTCTCACTGCGAAAAGAAATATTCTATCAAAGCAGATCTGAATCGTCATGTACGATCACACACTGGAGAAAAGCCATTTGAATGTTCTTATTGTAAGATGAAATTTTCACGTAATTCATATTTGAAATGCCACATAAGAAAACATACTGGAGAAAAACCTTATGAATGTTCCTATTGTAAAAAGAAATTTGCAAGAAGGAACAGTTTGAGTTATCATCGTAAAACTCACACTCAAGAGTAGTCACCTCATTTTGTTACGAACATGTCATGCTGGCCTCATTTGCAGGCTGTTCCAGCAGAAATGGACTTATTGTCTTTTTGGTCTTCCTGTGTTGGAAATCTTGAGAGGGAAGAACTGGTGTCAAAGGATTGAAACAACGTCCACTAACTATGTTGTGTTTTTCTTTTCTTACTACTCACTACTACCCCGACAGGTTTTTTCGATATAACACAGGAATCCCATAGAGTAAATTTTCCTGTGAACGAGTTTAACGCCAGGCATATCTATAGTTTTGTGGATTCTCTTCACGACGTCATTTTAGAATTAATGTCAACGTGAATTGTGGAATGAAAGTATTTATCAGTTCCTTTTCCGAAAAGTTTTCAATAAAGTTTGACGTCCTGGTGACTGAGATCATAA